CACTGCTTTGTAGCTTTAACTAGTTGCGAATTGCAACGAAATAAAAGCAGCAACTTCTTCTATTTCTATGTTATCTGATTAATATATACATGCACCCTCTATAAAAACAAGCACCTAAACGAACTCTTTCCCTTCGTGTGCTCTGCTGTTTTTTTATTTTAAAGATTGCGCAAGAGACAAGAAAAAAAACCACGCACAAAATGAATTTTTTTGTGGGGCAACATGTAAATCGGGACCTGTCAATTGCACAACACCCAAAAAAAAAGAAGCAGAGGGCCACAAAATCAACAAAAAATATAATTCGCATGCCAAAGGAAAACAACAATTAAACAACAACAACAACAACATCTGCGCTTGGCGAGCTTGGGGAGCTCCTTTTGGCAATTTGCTTAATTTACAACTTAATTCCTGCAATGATTTTCAATTTTACGGCATTCGACGCGAAATAAAAAATATTTCGTGCATTTTAATTTGCCAGACAATTATTTAAAACGCGCTCGCAAGGATTTGTAATTGTTTAGTCGACGGCAGCATACCCTTTACTTTTTTTCCTCAAGGCGCACGACAATGTTAAGTTTGGAGAGCGCAAAAATAACTTTTACCTTCTGGCAAAAAGAAGGGCATTTCATATACTAAACTTAGTGTAGCTTCGGTTAGTGGGAGCTATCAAATAAAAGTTCAAAAAGTTCATTTTCGATTTATATTTGTTGAAACCACTCGTTTCGCGTCCTGATCGAAAATATGTATAAACATACTAGCGGATATACTCCTGCCTTGGCCATGGCAAGTTTTAAATACAACTTTCTCATCCAGTGCCCGCCCATCAAAAATTGTAATCTGCCCTTACTATCTTGAATTCCACGTCTATGGAATCAAGGGTTTCCAACCATGTAACTCTTGTGGTGAGAAGCCGAAAAGTAAACCTTTTGTTCATTAAAACTTTAAAACGCATTTTCCAGTCAAGAGCGGAGAACGTATCAAATAAATTCACACAAAAATCTTGGAAAATGATTTTGAAACCGATAATAAACACAAAAGTTGCCAATTTTCTGGCAAATTTCCACAGTTGCGGGTGGAATTTCGAAAATCGCTGAAACTTTAATTCATTCGATCGGACAGCACTTAAACTTCACTTCAAAGTGTGAAACACGTTTTAGATGAATTTTTGCACAAAGATCTTTGAAAATGATTTTGAAGCCAATCGAACGTTCTCAAACAACCGTTTTGGAGAGTATTCTATAAGCTACTATTATATAAGTTATATAATATATTTTGGCTTTTGATAAATTACATTATAATTTGAGTCTGAATTTTATAAAAGCCTATATCCTAACGAGCTCGTCTTAGCCTTAACAACTTTTACGAAATTGGACTCAAGTAAAAATACTATTGTGCAGGGCGTTGCACATAGGGGCACTTAATCGCTTACTTGGCTGCGCTTTCAATTTGGCTTTCGGCTGCCGCACGGAGCTGCCCCATTGTGCGGCTGCTGCGTTGCATGCAACACGCTCAATTTGCAGACACAGGCACACACACACAGACAGAAAGCCTGGTCGTCTGGCGGTTTATTGATTTCGGCAATTAAAATTCAAGTGTTCAAGCCTAATTACATGCCAAAAGTTAATGCAAGCGCAAACAGGCCACAAAAAGCAGCTGCTTAACCAAGCAGGCAACTCAACAGCCTCTAATTTGCCACAGAGCCTTTGATTGATTCGCAACTCGACTGGCTTCCGAATGCAGTGCATATTTTGTGGCTCTTGAAAGTGCGTTAACTACAACAGCTGTTTATAAGCAGCTCAAAGCGAAGTTCAGCTTTAATTTGGAATACTTCGATTGACTCGGCGAATCTGCTTGGTAGACTGTTGTATATTGGCCAAAAACAGAGCCGCATACCAAGTTTTAGCTTGTAAACTCGCACAGATCCTGAGATAAGTAGCTAAATACATAGCTATAAATAACTTTTTGATCAAGGCTCTGCGGCCCAAAAGTTAGCTGTTTAGCTTGAACAGATCCTGTGTTAAGCTTCAATAGCTTTATTTAGAAAATTATGCATCTATTCAATTTCCTTGCATTATATCTCAATTAGCTGTGGCGCTCTGCACATTCCAATCTTCATCAGGCTAAACCGTATAGTTGCCGAGTTATGCACATTTTGCCGTATTTCTGCTATGCTTGACTATATTATATATATTTGCGCGGCATTCTCAACTTTTTGGCACTTGACATCTGTGAACTGAGCTGCGTTGTTTTGGGAATTTATGCAAATGGATGCGCACAATTCCCGTGGTTCATTATGAAAACAACATTTCGGGCGATTATGCGAGTAGCTGTTGTTGCTTCCGTTGGAGGAGTCAATGGCCAATGGCCAAAATATAAAAAAAATAATAAAAACAAAAAAAAAATCGGAGCTCTCATTTTAATCAATATGCATATTGTGCATATTTCATTTGATGGCCGCATCTCATATCTGCGCTGGGCATAAATAAATAACACTTGGGCTTATAATGAGGCTCTAGCGCAAATCGCGATATATACACACATACACACATACAATTTGTGTGTACATATTTTTAGAGCCCAGGCACTGGGGGCCGGACCAGAAGTCGGCACGCCGCCGATCTTGATCTTGGGTGTCCGGATCCATGCTGTGCTCGCCCATTGCCCGCGGCTATGAAAATGAAAACCCGTTTCGCCAGACGCAATCAAGCCCAGCAGCGTTTCCAGGGCGTTGCCACATGTGCGTAAACTAGATGATGCCATAAAAATGTTCACAACAACAAACTCAAAACAAGTAAGAGGTTCTAGTCGGGAGCTCCCGACTAGGAGATACCCTGAACCCTCTTCTTCCAACACCAAATGCAGCTCGGGCTATGCGCTCGTTTGCTTTAGTAGTAATAAAAAAAAATTAAAATAATAAAAAAAAAAAATGTTAGCTTGGCAGGGTTCGAACTCGCAACTAACCGCACCACTTGCCGCCGCCTCTACTCAAGAGCCACACTAATAATCGCAATTGCAATGCTGTTGATAGTATTCAAAGCAGACGCGCATGAACGTGTGTGTGTGTACATGTATACAGAAATTCTTGGAATTTACGCTAGCTGCTGCTAACACGTGCGCACATAACTTTTGTGTTTCTTAACCGATCTTAATGAAATTTTCGACAGTACATCTTACTGTAGAATAGAATATATAATAATTGTCTATTCTCAATTGTGTTATCAATTGCATTAATTGTGGCTTAAATGGATGGGCAATACAAGTTGAATAATTAACTTGATTTATAGCTTTGCAGTGGTAGCGGGGAGATGGCGATAAAAGTTCACCAAAAAGTGAAAGTCTGTATAATATACAATAACCTATACATCAAGTTTGATGTATCTAACTCTTATAATTCTCGAGTTATGCCTAAAAAACATGTCTCCAAATAGTTTTTCTTTCGTTAATGCGAAAATAAGAGAATAAACGTTCTAAATTTCTATAGCTTTTCCATTTTCCAAAAACCAGCTCGACTCAGCTCGTCGTCTTGCTCAATAATGTATACAACTATATCAAAAATATCAAAGATTATTCCCTCTGTCTGTTAAATACATTTACACAAAAGCATAATACCCTTTCAGCCTTTGTCGAGTGCATAAAAAAAATGCTTTAAGAAATACATAATTAAAATAAAAATATAAACAGATCGCAGGCATTGACAGTTTTTGCCTCCCATGACAGGCGCGCGAAACATGCTGCAACATCAAAAGATAAACCAAAAGCGAAAAACAGCCAACTGAGAAGGAATAAAAAAGAGAATGAAAAGAGGCTGATCAGGTGGATGTCCTTGCCAGTTAATATCGGGACGCTTTGGCACAGTGGGATAAAAACGCCAAGACTTAAGCCAAAATGCGGAAAATAAATGAAATGCAGTCGAATAATCCTAATTATATATACATGCTTGAACAGTATGATATCGGTATAGCTAGATTCTTCACTTGAGCGATTGGCTCAATGCTCTACATATAATGAAGTACACTAGGCATGGGGCTAGCTGAATATCTTTAACAAATATATAGTCAAAGAGCGAGCAACATATGAGAGAGCAACATATGCCTTAGACCAATATCTGATGCTATATAGAGAATGTTCTCAAGCAAAATAAAAAAAGTAATTTATTTGAAATTAATTTCAAAATTATCAATAGATAACCTCTAAAATCTATATAGTAAAATACAAGTTTTGCTTTTTTATATATATCCTATATTAAATACTTCATAGATAAGCTCCAACAGGCCGATGGAAAAGATATATAGTCAATATCCTATATCTTCCAGGGCCTACCTCTAAAAGAAGTCCCATAAATATTATTATTTTCAATATAATTTATAAATTGTCAAGAGTGGTTTCAGAGACGGAAAGCAGTTAAAAGTTTAGTCCTTGACTAGTTGGGTCCATAAATATAGATAAATGTAAATGTAGGAAAATGTAAGAACATGTGTATATATTATTAATCTATTATTGCGTTTATCTTAAAAAATACATTCTGCAAATATATAATGTTATTTTGTACAAGCCCTATATTCGATAAATATCGATTTACAACAAATTTGTTAATATATTTTCAAGCCATCAAAGAGCTGTCAATACGACATTTAATATAAAGTTCTTTTTTTAATATACGGAAATCCAACTAAATAGTTTTTGAATATATCATAATTTGCCATCTTCGATAAATATCGATTTTAATGAAATTTTCTATTAAGTAATAAAATAATTCTAAAATAAAAATGCATTCACATAATTTTTCAATTGGGTTCCGAGCATTCACAGCGAAGCATCTAAATTTTGACAATCAATTGAAAAACGCTTAACAATATTTTATTAATGTGAAGTTTATATTATATTTAATATATGATGTTTGATATATCCCATTGTGAACGTTGGCAAACCCGTTTTGGGCAGCAAATGCATTCAAATTTATGCGCCGTCTGTTAACTGTCTCCGTTGCCCTTTGCAGATGCGCCGCCAGTCGACAGGTCCCAGTGGAAAGATGTACACAATTCTAGTTGGATTGGTGAGTTGAGCTGGACGATAACAGAGAGAGAGAGAGAGAGAGAACCACAAGTAATTGCAACAATTGACAGGCGATGCTGTTGCCTGTGGTGCTGGGCCATGGCAGGCTAATGGATCCGCCGGCACGAAATGCCATGTGGCGCTTTGGCTATCCCAATCCCGTCAACTATAATGACAACGAGCTCTTCTGCGGCGGCTATGCGGTCCAGTGGGAGCAGAACAGTGGACGCTGCGGCGTTTGCGGCGATGCCTACCACGTGAAATCGCCGCGACCGCACGAGGCGGGCGGCGAGTATGCCAAGGGCATCATATCGCGCTACTATACCGCCGGCCAGGAGATTGACGTCGAGGTGGAACTGACGGCCAATCATTATGGCCGCTTTGAGATGTATCTGTGTCCCAATAATAATCCCCGCCAGGAGGCCACCCAGGAGTGCTTCGATCGCTATCCATTGTTCATCTCGGGTAGTCGGGAGCATCGATACCTTATACCGCGGAACACCAAGAAGAAGGACATCTTTCGCTATAGCGTCCGCCTGCCAGCCTATGTCACCTGCACCCAGTGCGTCCTCCAGTGGACCTACTACACGGCCAACATGTGGGGCACCTGCTCGAATGGCACCGAAGCCGTCGGCTGCGGCAAGGCGGGTATGTCCCGTGCGCCAAAGATTTCGTAGTCCTCTTCTAATCCCTTAAGCCCAATCCTGATTCTTTTCCAGAAACGTTCCGCAACTGCGCGGACATTGCCATCATCTCCAATACAGGCGGCGGCGTACCGCCCATTTTTGTCAACAATAGATCCCCGTACTTGCTATACTATCGTGATTATCGGGCACCCGACGATAACAATGTGTTCCCACTGATTGTGCGGTAAGTGTTTTGTGCAACTTTTTCTCGGTAACATAACCGATTCACAACCGTTTTATAAGCTGCCGTAGCCGATTTACATCTGGTTCAAGAGCCTTTGATACAGATTTTTAGCCGATTCACAAGCTAACGATATCAAATCATATTCGGTTCACAAGCTATCGATAACTGGGTTATAGCTAGTTTAGTAGCTATCGATATCGATATAAACGGTTTCCTAAATATCAATAACCGATGCACAAATCGATGTTAACCGCATATAACCGGTTCACGAGTTATCGATAACCGATTCATAACTGGTTGACAATGTCTCGTTAACCGCTTATAACCGGTGTATCAAAACCCGATTAATTACCGGTTCACAAGTCAATGGTAACCGGTTCGCTAGTTATCGATAACCGATTCATAACCGGTTCTCAATTTAGCGTTAACCGCTTATGACCGGTTCTCAAGCTATTGATAACCGCTTAATAACCGGTTGATGATCGATTTGTTTACTGATATAGATCGATTAAAGATCTGTTAGTAATCGTATCAAAAGCAATGGTCAGAGCTGCTGCTATACATAAGCGATAGCAGTTCCTAACCGATTAACATTGAATTATATAATTTATTTTTACTAATACCTATTTTAACCGATTTACTACTATTTTTATCTTATACTCCTTATATATATCTACTTTGCCTTACGCCTTTTACTACATTCTTTACTGCTTCCCTTTCTTAGTTCCTTTTAGTTTCAATTTTATATTCTCTGTTGCAATTTGATTTACCCGGCTCACGAATCTTTCAAATGCAGCTGTTGGGGCAGGTAGCTTATCCAAGTCCTAAGCTATTCGCTTTAATTACAGTGATTAAGACCTTAACCGATTCGGTACTCTTTAGTTCATCTTCTTCTTTCTTAAACATATTCTGATCAACAAGATGTTTTTACTTATATTTCCCAAAATTTCAGCAGCCACTGTGGCTTGTTCTTATTCTTTTCTACAATTTCAATTCGCATCTTTTGCAACTTTACTTTACTGAAATGACTATCGTTAACTGTTTCCGCTTCTTTAACCGTTTCAATTTCAAATTTGTATAATTTCCCAATTGAAAACACATTTTTAACTTTTGCTTCGCATTTCCATTTAGCAATGGCACGCGGCATGCGCGCAAACGCAAGCCACCAACTGCTTAACCGCTTCCCCGCTAAAAACAATTAAAAAAACAAAAAAACGCTAAAATCCGCTTACTCGATACACAAAAGTTTTTCTAGCTAAAGCAGCGCAGCACAAGGTCTACACGAAACGGGTAAAGGTCAACTTTAAACTGTAGATGTAAGATGCAAAAACGGGTTATGGTTGCACTCGGACACACACACGCACACACACACAGACACACTTAAATATATATATAAGCTGTATATAAATAAAATGCTTAAAATAAATTTAAATATCTAAAACTTATATAACTCGTTTTATATAGCTATATTTGTCTTAAGCGAAACGGTAAACCGTGTTGAGTTAAAAAAAAAAAAGAATCGAAGGAGTTGCCAGCTGATTGTTGGGTTGCTTAAAACGGTTAAGTGCTTAATAAATATTCCATATAGTTTACTTAAGCGAAACGGTTATAACCGATTCGGGTTGCAAAGGAGCAGGTCAAAACGCTGCCAGTTTTCTGGGGATGAGCATAAAAAAAAGATAAATTTATAGGTTTTCTTTTTCAAATTTAAATTAAAGTGAGAGGCGAAGGTTTTTCGGGCATCAAAAAATTTAAATATCTTTAGCCATTTTTATAGATTTGTTTTCTTTAACGACCAATAATTACCAGAGCTTACAGGTAAAAAAATTTGATATATAATTTGTGAAGGTTTTACTCAAATTGAGATGAAATTATGAGGCCAAGGTTTGGCTATTAATTTTCAAATTTTTGCAAAACGAAACGGTTTAGTTTACAATCAAGCTGAACAATAAATGTACCGTAGGTGTTTTTCGGGAAAATACACGGAAAGATGGGGAAACATAATCGAGCGATTTTTCATTAAAATTATTTTAAAAGCAAATTTTCAACTTTTTTAGTATCTTTTTTTCTTAGAAGAGCTTGCCTAGTTGGGGGATGTTGGGGCCAAGGGAATAAATGTTTGCAGTGAATACTTAAAGTACACATGAAATTTTATTAACATTCGGCCCTAGACCTTTGACCCATAGCCTTAGTGGAGGGGGGCTAACCGACAAATCAAGTCACATATTAAACATAAGGAAAACAAATTACAAACCAGAAAATAAATAAGGCGCACACGTCCAACGGGGCGGGGGCGGGGGTGAGAGGAAGGCGAAATAAACCGAACCCGCACCTAAATACCCCGCACACAGCAATCTATAACCCGCAACCTTTACACTGCAACCCCTGCAACCCCTGCACCTCCACACCCCGGCGCACTCCCACCCATCGCCACCCATCGTCGCACAAAAATTGCAAAGACAGAAGAAGAACAAATAATGGAAAATGGGATAAATAGATTTGGGAGCGAGCACAAGTTGAACCGCTGCGCAGCCTGTCCGCCTGGCTGGTCGTGTCTGTGCCTCAGCAGCGTATATCCGGATAGGTGAAGGCCATGATGAGCACCAGAAAGACGGCGACTTGCACAATGCCGACCAGCACGGTCTTGAGCAGCTGCGTCTGGACCCTTGGCTCCAGCTCCGTACCGTTCGTTTTGAGCGGCGCCACCTGGCGCGGATGCGTGCGCTGTTTGGCCATTATATTCTGCATGGGCTTCACCTTGGGACGCTTCCAGCGCGACAGATTGGCGCACTTAATGCTGGCCGCCTTGCCCAGCGAGCTGTGCGATGAGCTGGCCCTCGGCTCCGGCTCCGGCTCCGGCTCTTGCTTCAGTTCCATACTGTTGGCCAGCTCACACTTGACCGCGGGCAATAGCAAACGCTCCACATCAGCGCTGGACCAATTGATGGGCTCCTTGAGACCTGGCGAACGCACCGAGAGCCGTGTATAGGGCGTCAAGCTAAATGGCAGCTGGCCAAATGGCAGCTGGCTGCCGCTGCCGCTGCCGCCGCCCGTTTCTCGGGCCGGCACCAGCTTATCCATGACCGGCGGCATTTGGCAGCCGCTCAGCTGCGGCTCACCATAGCTGACCATGCTATTGAAGAACATGGCATCCTGTTCGAGCAAATTGAAGGGACGCGCCGGCGTCAATGGACGCAACTGCTGTAGCAGCACATTCGGATTCTCGCGCAGCATACGGAACGAGGTGCGCTGCAGGCCGCCGCCCTCGGCCAGCGGCATATAGAAGCACTGCATCTCATCGGCGGTCTTCAGCTCGGTGAGGGTCTTCGTCTCGATCCGATATTCGCGCACACAGCCAAAGCAACGGGCATGGTAATCGATGCGGGCACATTGCCACATCGCCGCCATATGCTCGACGCGACGGCAACCGAAATAGACAATGGGCAGCGCCTCGTAGCCGTTGAGGGTGAGCGTTGAGCGCGGCGTATAGAAGATGCTATTGGATTCATAGTTGTCCAGGCTTCGGCGAGGCGTTGCTGTCGGATTGTTGGCGCGCAGCGTTGCCTCCAGTTTCTCGCCGAGCTGCTGCAGTAGCTTGATTTCGCGCTGCAGCGTCGGTATATTCTGCCAGACCATTTCCATTTCCAGTTTGCGCTGCTCCTCTGCCTGTGAATTTTGCACCAGATGCAGCTGACGTTGTTGCTCCTGCTGTCGCTCCCGTTCCCGCTCATTCTCACGCTCATGCTCATGCTCCAGCTCCTGCTCGGATGTGGCCTGCGGCCGTAGCGCACGCTCGGTCAGCAACAGCAGCTGCTGCTGCCGCTGGCGCACATCCAGCAGCTGTGTCTCCAGCTCACACTGATTGCCGCCCGACGGCTCTGGCTGACGGCGACTGCTGCTGCAGCAGCTAAACGAATCACTGTCAGCGAGCTCCACACCGAGATTCTCATCGGTGCCATCATCGGCCAGCTGTAGCTGCTGCTGCTGCTGGTCCACATTGTCGACGCTGTTGCGCAACGGTCGCACCATCAGCAACTCCTTGACCTTTTTCACCGGCTTGCACAGATAGACGAAGCTCTTGTTCTGCTCGTCCGGCAAACGGAACGCCTTGGCCAGCTTGATCTTTCGCAGCTCGCTGCTGCTGTTGCTCATGCAGCAGCTGCTGATGAGGCTGCTGCTGCTGCTGCTGCTGCTGCTTCTGTTGCTGCTGTTGCAGTTGTTCACAATTCCGTTGCCGGCCACAATGCTGCTCAGCTCCAGAGGCTGCTCCTGCTCCTGCTCCAGTTCCAACTCCAGCTGCTTTTGCTGATGCAGCTGATGCTGTTGCGGCTTCGCTGACCTCTCGACGCTGTGATCACAGCCGCCGGTCAAATGGTGGCTGCTCTTCGGCTTCTTTTTGTACGGCGATTTGCTGCGTGTCAACAGCGACTTCGGCATGTTGCTGCTGTTTAAGTTGCAATTGTTGTTGTTGTTGTTGGCATTGCTATTGCTGTTGCCGGCCAGCTTAGCCACGCGCGGCAAAAAGTGGCCACGTGGGCCGCCCGTGCGTCGATTGGCATTCACATCAGCTGCAGCAGTTGTCCCATTGCTCAGCGGTCGGCTCACAGTGTTCAGATTCGTCAGGCGTTTGGAGCGATTGGTGCCAGTAGCTAAGCAGCAGTCGCAGTCGTCGCAGCAGAATGAGAATGATAGAGAGAGATGGAGATACAGATAGATAGAGAGAGAAGGAGAGCTAAAGGAAGAGGGAGAGGTAGGGGAAGGGGAGAAAAAGAGATAGAGGATAAAGGAAAGAGGAAAGAGGATAGAGGATAGAGGATAGAGGAAAGAGGATAGAGGATAGAGGATAGAGGATAGAGGATAGAGGATAGAGGATAGAGGATAGAGGATAGAGGATAGAGGATAGAGGATAGAGGATAGAGGATAGAGGATAGAGGATAGAGGATAGAGGATAGAGGCTAGAGGATAGAGGATAGAGGATAGAGGATAGAGGATAGAGGATAGAGGATAGAGGATAGAGGATAGAGGATAGAGGAAAGAGGATAGAGGATAGAGGATAGAGGATAGAGGATAGAGGATAGAGGATAGAGGATAGAGGATAGAGGATAGAGGATAGAGGATAGAGGATAGAGGATAGAGGATAGAGGATAGAGGATAGAGGATAGAGGATAGGGGATAGAGATAGAAATGGAGAGGGAGATAAGGAGATATTCTAGCTTCTCTAAAAGATTCTAACCTCCTTCTACACACAATACTTCTTCCCCAAGCCCGATACTATGAGAAATGCATTCTTGCTTCGGTGCTTATAGACCGATCATAATGAAATTTTCTAGGCTTAAATTTGGCATACAAAATATGCATATACCAAATCGCAGATCATAAATTTGATAGTGAGTTGTTTTCAGCTTTGCGACGAGTCGGGAAAAGTATCCAATAAGTAAAACATTCTCTGTCGGCAAGAACTATACAAGCACCCACAAACATTGTTTGACGTATATAGTTTCAGTAGTTCTCGAGTTATGCTTATAAAAACAATATTTCAAAGTCGATATTTATCGATCAGATGAAAATCGAAAAGCCAAAATATATAAAATCGTTCTGAATAGAAATTATTTACTTGAAATTTGAAATTTTTGCTAGTTTCCAAGATCAACTTTATGCAGACGGACAAACAGACATTGCCAAATAGACTCAGCTGGTCTTGCTACTCAAATCTAAAAGATTTCATTTTTAAAATAAGCTCTCGTGTGTTTTGGCCGATTGCCTTGAAATTCTCAGTGCATTGAGTAAAGATACCTTAAACTGCGGCTATACTTTTTAAAATCCCTGAGAAATCGAGGCACCAAATCGATAATAAGCTATTTATAGGAACTGAGTGAAAAAAGTTAAGCTGGGTTAAGAAAACCATAGATGCCACATGCGAAGTCTTTGGCTTGGTCTGAGACAGACGAACGGACATGACTATATGGGGTCAACTATCTAGTCATTTCTACATTTTACATCCACCAACTTACCCATTGGGGCCCGCTGCATGAGCTCCGTTCTGGTGTATGTCGTTTTGCGCAGTGTGTTCAACGCATTACCCATTTGGGGGCTAACCAAGAGGGGGACTTGGAGGACCTGCGGCAGTCCATCATTTTCGCGCTCGTGCCTCATATGATTGAAGCGTGTACGATTCATTTTCATGCTAACCCGCTACCCGATTTTCCGGTTCCGTTACCGTTTCCGTTTACGTTGCGATTTTTAGTATAAATTTTGGGTTGGATTCTTCCTTGCGTTAGTTTTTTACTGAAAATAATTGCATGTGTTTTTGCGTGTGTGCGTGTGTGTATGAAAATTGACTCTGCCCAAAAGAAAAACGTGTGACTGTTCGATGAAAAATATAGTATTGCCCGGAGCTCAGTTGACATCCATGTCGGAACGGAAATATGTACACAGTGTGAAGGCAAAAGCAAATGTGAGAAGTTTCCGAAAATATTCAAAATTCGTTTAGCTTATCCAAACTTTAAAAAAAATGCCACTTGTAGAGAAAAGTTGTATTACACGACAAAAATTAGACTGCAAGCTCTTTTTACCTTGTTCCTGTCAAAGTTACCAGCCACTTTATATTCCTGGTATATACATATGTACTATTCATTTTTCGTAGACGAGCAACTATTGCCAAATAAAATTTCGCTTTCAGCTGATGCACTCGATAAATATTTGTGAATATCGTAAGGCAGTGTTGCCACACCCCCATGCAAGGCACATCTGGCAGCACCAGCTTGCACTTCGACTGTTAAAACAGAGCATAACAATTCAGTATTTCATAGAGAAATCATTATAAGTTATATATAATTCCGATATATATTTAACTTAAATTTTAGAAATTGTGCAAATCAAAATGAAAATGCATAATTTGGTTTTTTTGATCATACATGTGTTCGAAAATATAATTTTTTCGATTTGTTAGAGAGCTGTACAACTATAGTACGTTATAATATAGTAGTGAGATATTGATAAGATTGCAGGCAGCGTAGCATATGTGTAAGCAGCATACTTTAACTAATAAATGCCAACTTTGGTCAAGATATCTTGAAACAGAAAGATTTTTATGCAAGAACTTAATTTTCGACGGATCCTACATATTGAAGCTATCTGATCCGACATATGTACTGCCTGCATCAGAAAAACGGACCTATGTAAAGTTTCAGGACTGAGAGACTAGCTCGCATAGAAACAGATAGACGGACAGGCAGACGGACGGACAGACGGACATGGCTATATCAACTGGACTGTTGATGCTGATCAAGAATATATATACTTAATGGGGTCGAAAATGTCTCCTTCATACATCTAAAAGGGTATAATGGCAAAATTGTAATACCCTCTACAAGGGTATACAAAATGGTAAGACTAAATTCCAATGAATGTTAAAAATTTGTATAACAATATTTACATATATGCTTTGACTTGCATATTCGAATAGATGGGGAGTTGGTTATGATTCGGAGGGCCTGTTAGAAATATATATATTGAAGAGATTCAGAATAGGGATATTTCAGTGCTAAGCAAATATGTTCTGTCTAAAAGTGAAACATATCTATTCAAGAAATATAATAGACAAGAATAATATGGCCAGATTTGATGCCAAATTGATCAAGACGCCAAACCATGAACAAAGCGCCAAACCTTATGAAAATCACTTGAGTTTTGACCGAGTTATGGGGGTGGGAAAGTTTGACCAATGTGTATATAGGACAAACAGTTCCATATATAGAGATTACTCAGTTAAGAATTCAAATTCGTAATAAGATATAAAAATATATATATGTATATATTTCAGTCAGTCAGTCGGGACAGTTTTAAATATAGAGATTAGTCAGCTAAGAATTCAAATTCGTAATAAAATATAAATATATATATATATAAATAATATAATAAATATATATATATGGTATTAGAATTCTTATCCGAGTGATCTATTATATTTCATGAATATATATATCTATATATATATATATATATATACATATATATATATCGAAACGATCTAATAGAGGAAACTATTCTGAGCCATCGATATTACTATTTATTTACAAATAAAATTTGTTTCTTTTATGCATTGCACTCTCCGTCCGTTTGTTGTGATTCTGATGCCCCATGAACCGGGCATGTCGAAGGGCCTGACGCTGCAGCATCTCGTAGCGTCTGGATATAATATTGGTATTCTCGGCGGTACAAGCCCAAGCTGACATATTGTTATTCATCTTCGGCATGCACCTCACCAGGGGCCTTGACCGCCGCTTGGTGTTGTAAATGTTGGAGATCTGACAGCTATTGGGCTTGATCCGGCCAAATGGATAGATGCTGCTAACAGGTCCAGCATGAAATTTTGGTTTCGATCGCCTCAGATTTGAGTCGGAAAGCGCATTGCCATAAACAATCCGCAATTCGGCCAAGAGGCGACGACGCTCCTCCTGCTTCTTGAACTCATTCACATAGCGCTTCAACGGCATGGCTGCTACAACAGTCGCAGATACCACTTATATATGAACTGATTCATGGAATTTGGAAACTTTGTGGCTAGATGAACACAGAAACATTTAAGATTTTGGAATAATTGTGCTTGAAATTCTCAGCTCGGCCTGCTAGCGGCCAAACCAGAACTAACAAACTGTATTATTGATCTAGTCGGGAGTGCATTTGCGTTTGTGTAAGGTGCTCCTGACTATTTAGAGAAAATGCGTTGTATACCAAAGTCTTCCGCATATTTTCCAATATTACAGGGGGAATTTTCCAATTGGTTACACAGTTCAGTTAATCAGACAGTGAGCATATCAATCAGTCAAGCCGCTTCGATGTATAGATAATTTTTGATTTCGTTTTAGTCCTTATGGATTATTTACTTTCCATTATTACGGGTGGAATATTCTAAAAGGTAAAAAATGCAGCTGTCAAGATCTTACGGCTCGGGCTCTGCATTCACCTTCAATCAATCAATCTGCTTAGATGTATAGATCTATTTTGATATAGTTTTAGTTCTAATGGATTACTTTCTTTCCATTATACGGAAGAAATTTTCCAAATGGTGACTTAAGTTCGTTGATCATCAATCAAATCAATCTGTCAATCAGCTTGGATGTAGAGATAATTTTTGATATATAGTCATAGTTCCTTCTTTCTTATTTTTACAATAACATGCGGCCTAATATTTTGTTGTAAACACTTTTTCTTCCTCCCTCCTCGTTTCTCACTGTATCCGTAAACTTTGCAGCGATCAAAAGTGCATTGGTGCGCCGCCCTTCCGCTCGCTGCCCGGCATTGATTACTGGTGTGAGATCAACTGTTTGCGCTATCCGCCCAATTGTCCCGAGACCGCATGCCATTGTCCGTAAGTACAACATAACCTCACTTTACATATATATTTTTCAGTCCTTTTAATTTACTCATGCGCACTCCCTTGTTGCATACAGTCAGGAGTGCGTGGCCATTGGCGAGCTGGAGGGACGCGAGGGCGCGGATACATACTGCATGGACGAGTGCCTCAATTATAAATCGGAATGCCCGCGCGACAGATGCCGTTGCTTTTAGAACGAGACAAAACATATGCAAAACACACAGAGAGGGAGAGGAAGAGAAGAAGAGAGGGAGAGAGAACGGTATACCAATTAGCTGTGCTGCCCAATTGCCAGAAAGGAGATGGAAGATGAAAAGAAACGAAACGAAACGAAACGAAAGAAGTTGCGAGTTTTGAGTATTTTGTAACTGAATAGCTGCATTTGAATACGAATATATATATGTATATGCATACATATGTACGTATATATATAAAAATAAATATATTTGTATTTATATATATATATGTATGTATGAATGTGAATGTGAATCAAGCGGAGTTGTTCTTTATGGGTGTATATATATATATACATATATATATATAGATATATGAATATTGGTATTGCCGGGGCTACTGTTGCTGTTGTTGTTGTAGTTGTAGTTGTAGTTGTTATTATTATTGTTATTGTTGTTGTTGTTTTTGTTGCTGGCTGGTGAAATTGGGAGTCACAGCATCGCTAAGTCATGTTGGTCGCCAAATTCTATTTGCGCTGCACATTGTCCTCATAGAGGAATGGACGCGTGAAAGCCTCCAGCAGATCGCGCTGCTCCCTCAAGCGCCGCAGCTCCGACAACGGATTCGCCGTGGAGATGCGTCGCACACGGAACAGGGTCGACACGGTGCCCGCAATTTGACCCCAACGCTCGCTAGCCCGCGACTGCATCACGTCGGCGCAGAGATAATGATTCCGCCGCTCCCCGCTGGCCGGCCCGCTGGCCATGGCATTTTGGCTGGCAGACGCGCGTGCGTATTGGGCAGATGCCGCCGTTGTTGTTGCTGCAGCTGCCGTCGCTCTGGCCGCTCCGGCAAGCGCTTTAAATGGCTCGCTGCGTATGAGGACCTCGGCGCGCTCCTCGCGCGCATCCTCCTCGGAATCTTCGTGCGGCAGTGCCGCACATCGACCGCAATCCAAATCGCTGACGTGCGCAAAACTGGAGGCAATGCGTCGCAATGATGATGTTGACGACGCCGTGTTACCGGGCAAGGCCGAGGCTGCGGATTGAAAGGGATTGGCATCCGTGTTAACGGGATTGGAACGACTGCGCATTCGGCCCAAATTCATATTGGATAGCTTGTTGCCATAGCTGGTGCGCAGCTCGGCGCGTTGTCGGCGCGCCTCCTCTGAGCCAATGGCCAACTTTCTGCCCAGCGGCATGCTCCTATCCTCCTGGTGCTGCTGCTGTTGCTGCTCCTGCTGACAATTTAGTACCAATCGATACCGTTACCAAAAACTGTTGCCGAAATGTTCGCTACGAATTTTGTTCAGTGACTGCTGAGTTTTAGCCACATCCCAGCCCAGAACCACAACAAATCCAAGGCCAGCCTGGATGCGATATGTCCAGTAAGTAATGTTAAGCGCGTTCTCGTCATTTTTTCTTCCGTGTCTCGAGCACGCACGACTCGTTTCAACTCGTTTCGACTCGTTATATGTATAAGTATAAGTATAAGTATAGGTATAAGTATAGGTATAAGTATAAGTATAAGTATAAGTATAAGTATAAGTATAAGTATAAGTATAAGTATAAGTATAAGTATAAGTATAAGTATAAGTATAAGTATAAGTATAAGTATAAGTATAAGTATAAGTATAAGTATAAGTATAAGTATAAGTATAAGTATAAGTATAAGTATAAGTATAAGTATAAGTATAAGTATAAGTATAAGTATAAGTATAAGTATAAGTATAAGTATAAGTATAAGTATAAGTATAAGTATAAGTATAAGTATAAGTATAAGTATAAGTATAAGTATAAGTATAAGTATAAGTATAAGTATAAGTATAAGTATAAGTATAAGTATAAGTATAAGTATAAGTATAAGTATAAGTATAAGTATAAGTATAAGTATAAGTATAAGTATAAGTATAAGTATAAGCATAAGTATAAGTATAAGTATAAGTATAAGTATAAGTATAAGTATAAGTATAGGTATAAGTATGAGTCAGTATAAGAGGCGTTAGGTTATTTATTCAAAAATTTTAAATAAATAAATAAACAAATACGTCTCCTACATGGAAGGGAGCAATATTCAAAAAGTCAGAACTCTTGAGGTGTTCAGGATCTACGAGAATATACACACACACAACATTTAGCTTTGATAAATATATTAAAACACATATACGTATATATAATTTATGGACCTGCCTGAAATATATCCTTTATTACAAATTACACAATGTTAAGGGTATTAAAGGCAAAAAGGTGCTAATACAATACTTTGAAATCAATTTTAAGAACTCGTTATTGGTTGAATTAAGATTACGAGATCCTAAAAAAAAAAAATTGGACGTGGTTTAGCTTTGTTATCCGATGCAGCGGACTTTAACGTATATATTGACTGACAAAAAGACCAAGAATATGTATTCTTCTGGGGAATGCTTTCTATGCGTTACACAAAAAAAAAAACCTTTGAAAAAGTATTTCGAAATGGTTATAAAAATGTTTTAAGGCAGGTTTTGAAAAAGATAGCAAGCCCTTGAACCGGAATTAAAAGGTATCTCTTAATTGAACCAGTTTCGAACGATGTGTGAACTAGTTCGTTAGCGTGTTTAACAATTGAACCGTTTTCAAAGTTTGAAAACAATTTCAGAGCTGTTTTTGAAAAGCCGCGCGCTGCCCGATCTTCAAGCACATTTCTATACAGTACAGTACACACTCAATAATAACGACTTAACACTTAATGAACTATGTGTGAGGATTAGATGTTGCATAGAAATCTTTTTTACAAAAAAAAAAATTGTGACATAAATTCCCTTACCTTTTATTTAGTATATTTGTGGCTATCGCTTAGTAACTAGTCAAACAAACCTTCTATGCAATTAGCATGTGGACTGGCAGCTGTTTAGAACATTAATTTCTTTTTTTGCGGCAGGACATTGCCGCGCACCGTGGTCTCGACCAGTTTGCGCTTGAGGCCCGGTTTCTCATCGGCAGCCGCATTGGCGCCCTCCTTGGCGGCCAATATGGCCGAAGGCATGGGCAATTTGGGGCCAACGGTGGGCGGTGGCTTATTATGAAAATAAGGCATGCTGAGCGCTTCGCGGCACGAGCAGCGTTTGAGCGGATTCATGGCAAACAGGCGACGCATCAGCGTGATCATATCATTGCCGGCTGCTGTGAATATATTCTGGAGCGGTGTGCCCACAAAATGACGAAATTGTAGATAGTCATGGAGCTTGCTCAGATACGGCCATTCGGCCTCTGTGGGTGTGCCCAAAACGCTGAAGATGCGCGTCAGCTGATCCAGATCGGAATCGCCGGGCAGAAAAGGTACACGCAACATTAGCTCGGCGAGAATGCAGCCAACGGCCCACATATCCACGCCTGTACCGTATTGGCGGGCGCCAAATAGAAGCTCGGGTGAGCGATACCAACGCGTCACCACATGATGAGTGTACACGCGATTGGGCGAACCAAAGCTCTTGGCCAGACCGAAATCGCCGATCTTTAAAACGCCATCACTATTGACAAGCAAATTGTTGGGCTTCAGATCGCGATGCAGAATCCAATTGACGTGCAGATATTCTAGGCCGCGCAGTGTCATTATGGCATACGCCTTGATGTTCGCCTGGGTGAGAATAATCTTGTTATCCTTGATGATCACCTCCAGATCGGTGTCCATAAAATCAAACACCAGCGACACATTCGACAGCTGGCCAAAGACATCGACCAGCCCGATAATGTTCTCGTGCTGCAGCTCTTGCAGGATCTTAATTTCACGCAAGGCGGTGCGATTGATGCCATCGCGTGCCTCATCGCGGCTGCCCTTCTTGATCTTCTTGACGGCCACAATTTGGCTGGTCACAGTGTCGCGCGCCTTGTACACGATGGCAAACTGGGCAGGGGTTTAGTTTAAGGGAATGTATTGCAATGCGTATTGAAAACTAAATGCTTACCTGTCCTTCGCCGAGAAAGGACAGCTTGGCATAGCGATCCTTTTTGTCATCTCCAAGGGGCAACATGTGAGCGTTTATGCATAAAATACAAATTGCAAGCGCTACCAAATTGAAATAAGCGTGCGTTCCAGCCGGCAAAACAATAAACACCAGGGCTGCATAGCAAAAGTATCAACTATATCGATAGCTAGTATCGCATAAAATCACAGCCCTAGACATCATAAGATTTATCGAGTACATATCACACTAACAGATAAAAACCCTACCGCTCTTTGAAATTAATAATTGAATTTAATTTATAATTAATATCATATTTAGTATTGAGCGATAGAATGACTAAAATGATACAAAACATTTATATGGCGACTACATGTTGCACTGTCACTACACATAATCACTGCATATACAGTCACGCTTAACATCGCATCTCTTTATTCATTACTAACTATGGCATAAATTATATCGATATTGTATTGCATCGAAAACATGGCGACTGTCAATGCAAAGCTGCATTGCACATCTCTAATCGGCTACGACCAAACGAGCATTTTTTTACGCATTTTTTCCATCAAATATTTTGTTGCTCTTTAATTAAAACAACAAAATGGATGTGCGCCCAAATCAAACTATCTACATAAATAATCTGAATGAGAAAATTAAAAAGGAGGAGCTGAAGAAATCGCTCTATGCAATTTTCTCACAGTTCGGCCAGATACTCGACATTGTGGCGTTGAAAACATTGAAAATGCGAGGGCAGGCGTTTGTCATATTTAAGGAAATTGGCAGCGCCTCGAATGCCCTGCGCACAATGCAGGGCTTTCCTTTCTATGACAAGCCGATGCGTATCGCCTATTCCAAATCTGATTCGGATATTGTGGCCAAATTGAAGGGCACGTACAAGGAGCGGCCAAAGAAGGTGAAACCACCAAAGCCGGCACCGGGTGTTGAGGAGAAAAAGTTTGTTTCAATTGTAATTTGTTTTCGAATTGGGTCCTGTATTAAATATATTTTTACTTAAAACAGGGACAAGAAGAAGAAGCAAAGCAGCGCCGAAAATTCGAATCCCAACACACAAACGGAACAGCCGCCAAATCAAATTCTATTCCTCACAAATTTACCGGAGGAGACGAACGAAATGATGCTCTCAATGCTGTTCAATCAGTTCCCCGGCTTCAAGGAGGTGCGTCTGGTGCCCAACCGTCACGATATTGCCTTTGTCGAGTTTACCACCGAACTGCAGAGCAATGCCGCCAAAGAAGCGCTGCAGGGCTTCAAAATAACGCCCACGCATGCTATGAAAATTACTTTTGCCAAAAAGTAAACAACAGCGCATATTTTCCATTCAATATTGGGCTATATATACAATTATATATATATATATATATATATGCATATATATGTAAATGTAGAAAACTCGATTTGTGTGTGTGTTTCATTTGGAACACGCACGAATCTTTTTTTTTTAACGCTCCTAATTTAAAATTATACTTAGAATAAATACAAAATACAAAAGAAATGATGTTAAAAAAATCGTGTTCAGCTTTAAGTTGGCAACAAGTCAAGTTTAATGGTGATTTACAATTTTTCAGGGCTTGTGTTTGTTAGAGTTCGTTGTTTAGTGTAGTGTATGCGTCCTTAAGACAGTCAAGTGATCTCCAATGTTATGTTGTACAGTGTTTGGAATTCGGTCGGCATTGCTAAAGTGTTTTCGCTTTGGGTTGTACTGGCATTTCTTTTTGTTTGCATGAGTTTCTCCGTTTTCTTAGTTAATATAGGTTATTCAATTAGTTCTAGTTTAGTTCTCCAGGACGCCCTCCTTGTCTAGGGCACTTTGCACACGCATGGGCATCTCGTGAGCGCCTTCGACCTCCTCATCAAGATCGCAAATGGTGCTGCCGCTGGCAGCGCTCTCCGAGGATGTGCTCAGGTGCTGTTGCGTTTCCCCATTCGGCTCATCGTTATCACCCACATATTTCTCCATCGATTTGGCCAATTTGTCCGAATTGCCGCCCACAAAGACCTCCAGTACCTCCCCGCTCTTGATGAATACAAATGTCGGCATGCTGGTTATGTTGTACTCAATGGTTATCTCCTCGTTCTCATCGACATTCACTTTTAGCACAACGGCACGCTCGGCATATGTGGCGGCCAGTTCCGCCAGTTTGGGTGCAATTATTTTGCACGGTCCGCACCAATTGGCGCAGAAATCGATGACGATCAGCTTGTCGCCGGCATTGGACAATTGCTGTTCGAAATCCTCTTTGCTCTGTATAACATGCACCATGACTGAAATTTCGCTATGCCGATTATTTTGTTGCAATTTTTTTTATTTTATCAATTTTTTGTATATTATTTATTTATTTATTTTTTTGTTTTTTTTTTTGGTCGGTTTGTTGACTAAATAACATGAATTTCGAATATTTGCAACAATTTGTGTGTGCGCACAAGTTTCTGGAATTTTTTCGGCTCTACAGCTAGACAGCTGAAATGAAATAGGAAGAAAGGAAGCCTTGACTTCCAGTGAAAACAGGAAACAGTTAGCAGCTCGCATGAGTTTCTTAATGAATTGGCAGCTAAGTTTTTCGTTATGCCGAAGATTTCAAATAAAATTGTTAACTGCACATGCGCCTATCGCCAATCGATTTTCTCATCTGGGCGACAGGTGGCAACGCTCAAATGCTGGACGTGTACCGTTTGTTTTCTTTATGAGCTTGCATTTGTATGCATACACCAAGACGCTTGCATATACATATGTATGTGTATTCGCCGCCTTAAAGCGCGGGAAACTTTTACATATGTACATAGCTTTCCAGCTTGGAGTGCACTGCTGCTATAAATAGAGCTGCACTGAGCGCTTTTGCAAAGTTCTACCAAACTGACAAAGACGATTTAAGATTTGTGTAACTGTTTTGCAAAGTTTTATTCAAAATGACGGCCATTCGCAGCATCAACGATTTCCACAAACGCCTCGAGGCGGCCGAAAACAAAGTTGTCCTGCTGGACTTCTATGCCACCTGGTGCGGACCCTGCAAGGACATGGACCCAACGGTCAAATCCCTGGCACGCCAATACGCCAGCAAGGCGATCGTTATCAAAGTCAATGTCGACAAATTTGACGAGCTGGTGGAAAAGTACAAGGTGCGCAGCATGCCAACATTTGTCTTCCTCAAGAGCAACCGCAGCCTGGGCAAAATCGTTGGCGCCGACGAGCACAAACTGACGCACATGATGGCCAAAGTATGCAAATGAGCATGAATTAAAAGCGGCGCAGGCGTCGCTATTTAACCGTAAATTAATCATTTTAATATATGTATTGTTTAACTGTAACTGTAACTCAATCTGTAACTGTAACTATAACAATAACTGTGACGGTAATCAATTTCTGTAATTTCCAATGCAAAAATAACCTCAAATTTGAATATAAATTTTATTTTCATTTGTAGCAGCATGCTTATGTGATAGCTTTTAAGGTTAGAAACGATTATAAATCACTAATAAATAAGCAAATGACAACGAAAAATAAGAAAGAATATTGTTTGGCTTTATCTGTGTGTCGCAACTGCTGGCAATCGCAGCAGGCGAATGGCGTTCCTGGCGTTTGCCTTCAATTTTCAGATGTTAATATCGTCGAGAGGAATCAAATAAAAATCATTTTCGTCACAGCAACATTCAACAAACAATCCTTTTTTTTTTTTTTTTTAGGTAGCGTACAAAATTTTCAAGTGCAACAAAAAGCGAAAAAAAATCTCCTCGTCTAATTGTCGCGACACTTTGGTATCCAAAATTCGTTGTTGAGAATACGTGGTTAAATCGCCGATCCAGCCCGATTTAGGAGGATGTCCTATCAAATAAAGCGTACGCCATATTTCCGGCGCATGTTCAACAACAGCCGTCGAAACGGGCAACTGCAGCGACTGCGCGAAGAATACGAACGGATACAGGAGTTCAACGATCGGACCATCGAGCTGAAGATGCGGCAGGTGCGACTGAAGCGTCTGTTCCGTGAAATTGAAGATATTAACGAGTCGCCGAGCACATCGAATGGCCAGCGCCGTCATACAACGCTGGTGCATTTGACGCCGGAGGCGATGCAGGCCCAGCAGCGGCGGGAACGGCTCGAGGCGCTGGAGCGTGCCCGAGAGCTGGGCCAGGAGATATCCCGACGCAATGCCCAAATGGCCGAAAGCGGTGCCGGCTTCTATTTGCGCAGCGAACTCCGGCTAACCGCCAAAATGCGTGCCGTAGACGATGCCCGACGCGAGGCCCAGGAGCGACGCCAACGCGCCGCCCGTCGCATCAGCTACGGTAATGCCCAATCGCGCTCCAACATTGAGCGCATCGTGCAGCGACGCCAGCGGCGTCTGGTTACCGGTGATTCGCACCCGACATCAATAATGCACGACACCAGCCATCAGGCGGCCCAGCTGCCGCAGAGCACATCCAGCCAGAATCAATTGCATCCGGATCTCATGAAGCGGGCCATGCTCCAGCAGCGTCTGCAATACGGCAACTCGCGCTCCAGCAACAATATGATGCGCAGCCAGTTGGCGGCCGCGCATCGTGTGATGAATTGTTTATCGGCAACCGATACGCTGACCGACGAAACGGATCAGCTGCAGGAGCAGCAGCAGCAGCAGCAGCAGCAGCAGCAGCAGCAGCAGCGGCAGCAGCTGCAGATGCAGCTGGATCATAGAGAGCAGCCGTTGACAGTTGCCCATTTCTCGCCAAGCTCCACCAGCAGCAACCATCACAGCAGCAGCAACAACAACATTAACAGCAACAACAACAACAACAACAGCAGCAACAATAACAATAGCAACAACAACAACAACAACAATAACAATAACAATAACAATAACAATAACAATAACAACAAAAGCAACATCATCATCATCGATTCGGAGACGGAGATGCAGACGGCAATGCTGCCGCCAACGGAGCCGGATATGATGCGCGACGACGATGTGCCCACAACGAGCCAGAATGCGCTCAGATTCGCCGATGCAACAACGGCAATGGCGGCCGACATGACGGCCGCCAGCGAGCCGCCATTGGCAGCGGCGCGCTCGAACCTAATGCTGCACGAATCGAAGTCGGATCGCGCCTCCCAGCACTGGCATCGCATTCAGCTAACGCTGCCCTGGATTAAGGTTATGCACGATCGACCGATGGCTGCGTCCAGTCGATTGCCAGCCGCCCAGATGGCCATTGGCGGCGATGAATTGGGCAATTGCAACAGCAACAGCAACAACAACAACATTGACAACAGAAACAACAATAATTATAATATGAATAACAATAACAGTTACTACAACCACAACATCAACAACAACAACAACAACAACAACAGCTCACCAACGGGAACGGGAGCCACAGATAACTACCAAAGTATCAGGGGACCATCGTTAATGCAAGAGGACTTGATGCAGATCATGGAGCTGGACGATGAGGGACAGTTGCCCACAATGCATGCGCATTGCATGCATCAGGCATTTGGTCAATAGGTCGAACGCCCAAGCGTCTGTCCCACAAAAACAGGCCCATATACCATCAGCAAGCTCCGATAGCTTCGTGGATTGTCAGAGTAAGTGCTTCCAGTCGACCATCAAATATATGTATATATGTATCTTTCCATTCAACTGTATCTATTCCATTGCTCATTTATGTTTTGGTCAGGCGCGTGGCACACGTTCGTGTCACGCACGACTCATCACAATAATCGTTAACAATATAGGCAAACGATTAACAAGTCGACTAACAAATACCCTATAGCCGGGCTTACTATATGAATTTTGACAAATAATATATTATATACAAATTCATTATGATAGTTTTTAAGGAAATAATATAAGAATATACTTTTTTTAAATGTATAAGAACATCAAATTTATGTTTAACATAATGTATTGTACTTTAATTTATTCTTAAAATAAAAAAAAAAATGCATTTCTATTTACGCGTACATTTGTATTCAATTTAGAACAATAAATCTCAATGATAAACCCATAAGCAATTAAATACAAATTAATTTTGATATTCAAATAAAGAATTAAAAACTAATTCATTTGGATTATAAAAGTTATGGAAATTGAAAAATAAAGTATAACATTTCCTATGGAATTTTAAGCTTTATAAACAAACCTGCACGTTTTCTCAAATAACAAGTCAAACAATACCGACTAACACATACCCTACAGCAGACTTTATTTGTGAGAAAATTGAGGAAAATGTATTTATGTAAACATTTGCATCATGGGCACGGGGACTTAGAGACAACAAAATAGGGGAGAATCTAAAAAACATGTAGCTAAGTGAAAGACTCAATATAAAGAGAAAAAGCTCATTATCAAAATGGGGGTATTCAAGACCTTATAGTTCTGAGGATTACACTTACAATAAAGTTGTAAATTTTACAATGAACTTTAATAAATGTATTTTCTTCTTATTTCTTATTACAGGCATTTCATAAGACGGAACCGGATGGATCTGATTCCTATATCATATCTGCCAATTGGGTTTATTGGGCGATAAACAAGTTTTTGTATGCAATCATTATGAATTATTAAATATATTTATATTTTTTGATTGCATGTTAAACCGATTTTTATTTAATTGCAGGCACACACAGTTCCAGCTCTAGATAATAACAAGATGTTTTATTGGGCCCGCGTATGCAATGGTTATATATATGTATATGTATATATTTTTAAATGTCAAGCCAGCCAACTGGAGAAAGGTAATACGCGAAATGCGTATTGTAAAACGCCCTACACCCTACAAAAAAAACACATCTACGAACAATCGACGACTAAATGCAGAAATTTGTATGCAACAAAATATACGCATATACCCTATATATAGACCATATATGGGCTATATATATATGGGAACGATATGATCCATTTGCTTTCAGTTGTATTAGTTAAGAATTTCATATTTATTTGTAAAATAAATTTAAAGTCGAAAGGAAAACTATAAGCAAAAGCAAATCGCCTGCATCTCTACGTGTTTTAGTAAAGTATTTCAAATAGTTGTAAGCCGCACGTGCGCATATCGCCAATCGATAAGGGCATTTATACGACGGGTGGCAACGCTCAAACGCTGGATTAGTACCGTTTGGTCTGCTTTCTTTTGTAATGCATTTATCATGTATGTATGTATGTCTACTTACATCTACTTCCAGCCTGAACGTGCGCTGCATCCAGCAAAAAATTCTTCGACAGTCATCTGAAAATGAACACAATTTTTCGTTATAATATAAAGTGTTAAAAATATGCCCATCGTTCGCACAGTTAGTGGATTCAATAAACGCCTCGAGGCGGCCAAAAATAAGGTGGTCGTGCTGGACTTTTATGCCAACAACAGCAAGCCCTGCCAGGACATTGCCCAGTTGGTGCAAACTCTGGAAAATAAATACGCCAGCAAGGCGATAATCATCAAAGTGAACGTAGATAAATTTGACGAACTAGTAGATAAATACAGAGTGCGCAGCATGCCAACGTTTGTGTTCCTCAAGAGCAACCACAGCGTGGGCAAAATCGTTGGCGCCGACGGGCACAAACTGACGCACATGATGGCCAAAATGTGCAAATGAGCGCGAATTCGAAGCGGCGCAGGCGTCGCAACTTAACCATAAATTAATCTTTTTTTTATATGTATGTATTGTTTAATTGTAACTATGACGGCAAACATTTTATGTAACTCTTTAAATTCAGAGATAACCTAATATCACATTTGAAAATAATTCAAGAAACATCTTCAAATATCGCCTTGTTTTATGTTGGTATTTATTTTACTCCTTTCACGAGGTGAAAAGGAGTATATTAAACTTGCAATATTGGAGACTCGTGTGGTGTTCAAATAATTAGGCAACGCCCGCTAGAAGTCGGGCAGACTGCGAGTCTATCGTTCATTTTTAAAGCTGGACTCAAAATTTTGAAGCAGATCAAGACCAATAATACTGCTCCCTCAAACTTGTAATCACTTTAGCTTCAGGATTACAGTCTTAAAAAGCAATATCTTAATGTGACAAGACACATATGTATATGCATACAAACGTATTCTACTTATTATTTACATGCGCATATATACAAAGATTTCATCTACATTTTGTTAACATTTTTATTTATGTATGCAATATTTGGAATAGACAATAATATAATTGTTAAAATATATGTAGAAGTGTCTTGCCAGTTCAAAAATTCAGTCTCAAACTGTCCGTATATATTCGGGGTTTCTTTTACTGCAAATAAATTGCACATGCAAACATATAGATATATGTAAAATACTCATATATATATATATATATATATATATACATATATATATTTGTATACATTTATATTTATGTTCTTCAGTTTGTCAGTTAAAACTTGTATTCGAAAAAATGGAGCTCCTACAGTTTGTAGTCAGAAGGAAGTCAAAAAAAAATCACTACTTCCCCCATGCATACATACGTATATGTATGACATATGCTGGTTAAGTAGTAAATGTGTTATTTTATATATATACATGATATATATGTTTGTCAGTTGTCAGTTGAAAAGACTAACCCATTAACGGGCTGTTTACAATAGATATAATTTAGAATTCTGTCAAGTCGATAGGGTACTAAAAAAGCACAATATTACATGCTTATATAGAGAATATTTAAAACATATTTGAGCTCTATATAGGCAATCACATTTGGATTTGTTGCGCTTCAACGGTTAAGCTGCCAGCTCATTAAAAAAGTTTGGGTGCTCGGTTAAGAACTGTTGCAGACGTTTTTGTTGCTCCTGTTTTAGCTTTTTGTGAGCCTCTTTGTTCATCTTACGCCAAGCCATCTCCTCGGGCTGGAATTTGACCAGCCAGTTGGCCAGCGCCTCTTGCAGGTCACGTAGAAACGGATTTGCCAGCTGTGGCGGCTGAAATTGCTGAAAGAATGTTGGCATATAGATGATATTATCGAATTTTTCCTCAAAATCATCGGTGGCGGTGGGAAACACCTGCGTCTCGAGCATATCAAAGCTGTAAGCAAATTAAATTGTGTATATACTAATGTAATTCTAATAGGTATACCACAAGGACACTCACGTTGGCAGGCGCTCGCGCAGGTAGCGCAAGCGACGACCACAGTTGGCGGCTCGCAACTCGGCGCTATAGTTCTGACTGCGCCCGGCCATTTTGGCTTCGATTAACAAATCGCTTATGGTCGTCTCCGAGCTGCTCTTGTTGAACAGATTTACAAAGAGGATGCGATCTTCAAGATCAATATCCTTGATAACGGCATGCAGCTCGCGTGCATGCACCAACTGCTTAAATTTCGATGTCGCATTTTCGGGCCAATGCAAATCCAACGGATACACATCGGTCAGTGTGCCGCGCATCAACAAAGCCGGCTGTTCTTTGAAGGAGCCGTGCAAAAAGTGCAATTCCTTGCGTTGAACATTCACTCCCCTGCCATAATCCAGCAAATAAACAGATACATGGTTAGCGTCAGCCAGGGGTTCGCTGACAATGCGTCCACGACGCCAAGCAAATTCATGCAGCACAGCGCATATATATCCGGGCTTCATAAAGTAGCTCGGCAGCTGCCAGTCAGTGCCGCGCAGCGTGGAATAAAAATTGCTGCACGGAGGAGAGGCGATATTAGAAGTATCAGGGAATTTTATATTCAAATAATATACGGCACGATTCCAGGCACTAGCAGCACCCAACACGGATTGATACGAGGATTTGAGCCATGTGCATACTGAGTGCTCTGCCCGGTTTAAATTGCTTACGTTATCTGGCGATTAAGCTCTTCCAGCATATGCATGTCGTAATCGCCGTCAACAACATGAAACCAGAACTGAAACGGACTGTAGACCTGTCCAAAGAAATCGAAAACACGTTAAGAGAATATAACGAAGCAACGAAGCAAACAGGAGCCCAGTCAGGTTCCCCTCTAATGGGTTCTGATAACCTTTGGTATTCGAGCATTAATTGCTCCGACAAGCTAAGGAACTGAGGCTAGAACTGTTCGGAGATGAATTGAGGCGAGTTACCTGATAGGACACCACACAATCAAATATCATCCACAAAGGCTCTGCTTGAAAGAAAACAAAACAACTATGCGCATACCCTGTGCATGTCCAGCTACTATTTGGAATAGGAGAAAGCATCTGGGCAAAGAGTTTGCCTTCCCAGCTCTGATCAGGGTGTCACTCCCCTTCATCAGGGAGCTCGAACAACTCCTGCTCACTTAGGCTAAGCAGCCTAAGGCACAAAAGAGTCTCCCCTCTCTTTTATCTTATATTTTTATAACTTGCGAAAAGCAATTGTTCTCAAGGGAGCTAGCTATATATATAGTAGCAGTGCGATGCAGTTTCGATTTGAAAATCAAAAAATTATTCTATGATATCTTTATGTTATAGTCGAGAGATAGCTTCAATATTGAGAGAATCATGCAGACGGACTTGGTTATATAACTAAGCTTGTCAGCTTGTGACATCGGTATAATATATCTGCACTGAGACTCACCTCGGAGAATTTTCTAAATAGATTGAAAATAGTTTTTCTTTATCTTTTTTTGATTGCGGTTGTGCTTAAACATTTCAGCGAGAATTTGTGAAATCCAATAGATATGCTATTCGATTTTACAAAACCTCGCTGAAATGTTTAAGCACAACCGCACAGTCTGTTCAAGTCGAATAACTCACAGGGACTGACTGGAAATATGTTTTGTCGAAATCGCAAAGGAAATGTAATTTGACACATAATTCGAAGCCATCTTTTCAATACTCAATGCACAATATCGATACTATAGCTGACCTCTTTACATATATATATATATATATATATTCTTGATCGGCGTCAACAACCGAGTCAATATAGAACTGTCCAACTGTCCATCTGTCTGCTTACAAGCAAACATCTATCTGTTTCAAAAACTATCGTCATGCCACTTGGCATAGGTCCTTATACCATGAGCCTCACATACAAGCAAAACCTTGGTCAAACTAAGATATGTGCAATACCCGTATCAAATCGGACAACAAACAAAATGACGCTTCCGCATAAAATCATTTCTCATCCACATGTCTATAAGGATCTTCAACCTGTTCCCTTTAGTTATATATGTGTATCTGGTTTCCTGACTGACGCACACCTCGGATACAAAAAGCTTGAGCACATCTCCAATCTTGAAGCTCTCCGATATCGGCACTAGGGGCAGCTCAGCGCCTAGGGCAACGGCTTCCTTGGGCTTGTCCACGCAGAAGACGGCATCTGACTTATATTGGGAAACAGTCGGTTATTTTGGTTTGAGCTGGGTGGGCGGCGTTACCTACCAGCGCATATTCCGGCACGGCCGCGCGCGATTCTATAAGTTGTATAAAGTTGTTCATCTGGCGCTCAGCGCTCAGCTCTTCGGTGTTTAGGATCTGATCCGCCTGCTGATTGTCTGTTAGGGGAAAACGAAATGGATTTGTGCAGTCTGTCATTTGTTCCGACTCTTCCTCGTCGCTGTCGATGGCCCACAGCTCCTGGGCCAAACGCTGGGCTACATTAGCCTCGTTGTCAACGCAGCCCCCCCCTGGCTCCTGCATTTTCTCATCCGCGCTCATCATCATCACCGGCTTAACGGTGCGGTAATCCAATGTGCCTAGCCACGCCTCTAGATGATTGTATTTCCTCACGTTTTGCGGCAATAGATCAATATATTTGCGCTCAGTCTGCTCGCCACTATCTGAGGATGATGTCTGCCCACTTTTAAGGCGTTTTGCTGAAACTTCGCCAACTGCCTCATTTCCATTCTTCGAATCCTGGGATAGTTTTACAAGAGAAGTGCCAGCCTTTAATTGGCGAGCTAGTACAGCAGCACTCACAAGTTGTTCTCCAACAGACTGAAAAATATATATATTTGATCCATATTAAGAACTACAAGTACAATATATTACTCGAATAATATATAAGCATATATATTATTGAATGAGAAAAATAAAGAAAGGAGTTTCCTTTGCGAAATTTCTATTTTCTTTAGTTCTTTCTACATACAAACTTGCTTGGGATATAAAAAAAGAAAGGTTATGTTCCAATTTGACAGGTCGCAGGAAGAAGAAGCTTAGCCGCTGCCTCAAGGGGCCAGCTTGCTTCATGTGTAATACATAATATTTAATATACAATATTAACTCGGATCTGAGTAAAGATTTAAGCCAGTTGGAAACTCTCTGATAATGCAAAAGAGCGCACGGGTTTTGATCATAACTTACCTGTGAATTGTATGCTGCCATTTTGGAATCCAGTTCACTTTTCAATTGTTCACCTTCAGCTGAATATTCCATATTATCTTGAATATCCATGATTTGATAAAAGTCTTCGCCTCGTTTGCTAAGGCAGCGCACGCAGGCACACATACACCAAAGACAAAAAAATAACTGTAAAAGCCTTAGCTTCCAAAGGTGGCAGCACAACGAAAGTTGACACCAACAAGGTGGCAACGCTCGTTTTAGTGCATGTAACGACACCAAGTAACTAGTCAATGCGTTTTTGCTTAATAGAACAGCTACACAGGTTTATTTTGTATATGATGTATATCATTTTATATTTGAAAGTATAGATTTTAAAAGCTAACTGGAATGCGCAATTTATTGAGTATCACCTTGCAGAACAGTAAAACTTTTAAATTTTCTCATGTGAGAAGCATATAAAATATGGATATATAATTTCTATACAATATAAAGCATATTGTTACGATTAATTCTGCATATTTAATGTCTTTCAAAAATCGCGGTTAATTTTG